CTACTATCATTTGTATTGTTACTAGTATTTCTCTGAATGGGCCAATAATTTTGTCTGTTTTGAATCAGAAGTCATGAGAACTATAAGAAATTCACTTGCTCTTTCCTTAAACGATCATGAAATGACTTTATTAGAAAATTGTAATGTTCAGTAAAACACATAGGGTTAAGTTAATGCTATATTTTCCTAGCCAATATATCTCAATGTAGAGAGAAAACACACACCAGTCTTTTAAAAATCTAAATGTAATGTATGCTTTCAGTTATTGGAATTAAGAATCACAATTGTAAGTTCTGTATATCTAATAGATTCCTATTAGCAAGTGAAAATCTTGATTACCTTGATAGTTTAAACAAAAGTAAATCAAATATGCTTTTTAAGTAGAATGAACAGAAACATGTCTATAAGAAGTACTAGACTTGTGCTTTTCTGACATAACACTTTTCTCCTTCTGAGATGTAGTTATTCTGGAGAGAGTTCTCTATTGTTTGTATAGAGAATCATTCTGTTTGGTAAGAGTGGAGAATTTCACTGTATAAATTATTGTAATTTTTTTAAATAGGTCTCTCCTGATGAGCATTTAGGTGGTTTCCAATCATTTACTGCTACAAATAAAGTTAATCTATCTTGATTTCTCAGAGACTGGATTGCCAGATGTAGAATATTGGTTTTAAAACTGGCAAAACCAGTCAATAGTGTGGTGGTTAGGGTGTCCACACGGCCAGCTAGATAAGAGAAATGGAGGAGTTGGGGTTGCACCCTGACCATTCCCTGTGGAGGGTGCTTTCTCACTATCCCTCTTTTTTCACTCTCCCTGTGTCTCTCCAGGTAGTGTGTGTGCCTTCTGGCAAATTAAAAATGAATAATAATGATGATTAAAAAGTCAGCAAAAATATTTTTAATTTCAATAAACATTAACAGTTAGTCTCTGTGGAAATTAATCCTCTATGACCAGAGTTGGAAATGTACTCTTTTTGCTCACGATGTGTGTTATTTGTTTACTTGAATACAAAAAAAAAAGTTAATATGGTTAAATTAATGGATAAATAACTTATGAGGCTTTTTTGGGGGGGGGGTATTTTTGAAAAGGCCTTGAACATTGTACGATAAATAATTTTTAAAATAAAATTCTTGGGACCAGCCATGACACAGCAGTGACACAGCAGGATTTATGTGGGAAAGATCCTGGATTCAAGTGGTTTCTCGAGATTTCCCTGAGTGGTGCAGGATGCATGTGTGATACAGACCAGCTGAGACTGGAATGGATCGTAGCATATGGCCCGGGTTGGTGTGCCTGTCTCTCTCTCTGTCTCCTTGTGTCCCTCACGGAAGACATAAATAAACAAAATGCATTTCTCCCATGCTTTTCCTATGGCGCACTGATGTTTTAGATTCAAACTTTCGCACCATCTGGAATTTACTTTATTTTGATATTCAAAGGTAGGGAAACAACTGATTCTTTAGAATGATTACATTTAAATGATTTACAAGTTAGATGATTACAAGTCACTAAATTTTTTCCCACTTTTTTGTTTGTTTGTTTTGTTTATTTTCTTTTAGGTTTATGGCATTGGGTGCATATTCTCACTGGAAAGAGACAGAGAGAAACATAAGGAGGAAAGTGAGAAATCACCCAGAGGAGAGAGCCACACTGTAATTCCTTCTCCTCCATTCTCCTGGGAACTTGGGTAAGCATGCATAGGTGC